AGCCTTCATACTATTAATATCTTTCCACCACTTTTACAATGTTAGATTATTCTGAATTTTACTATGTATTTACCTTTACAGTGAGATTTATACTTTCATATGTTTTCCTGTTATTAATGAGTGACCTTTTATTTTAGGTTAAAGAAGTCTCTTTAACATTTATTATAACGTCAGTTTAGTGTTGAAGTAGTCCTTTAGGTTTTGCTTGTCCGGAAAAATTTATTCTTCAATTTGGAAGGACAGCTTTGCTGTGTAGAGTATTCTTGGTTGGCAGTTATGTTCTTTCAGCACTTTGAATATATCATGCCACACCTTTCTGGCCTGCAAAATTTCTGCCAAAATTTTTCTGATCGTCTTATAGGGGTTCCCTTGTATATAACAAGCCATTTGTCTTTTGCTGATTTTAAGTTTCTCCCCTCGTCTTTAACTTTTACCGAGTATTGTGTAATGTGCATTGGTGTGGGTCTCTCGGGGTTCCCCTTTTTTGGAACTCTCTTGGATCTGGATCCCAAGGTAAGGGTAGCTTTTAGCCACTATTTCCTCAAATAAGTTTTCTGTCCTTTTCTCTTCCTTTCTTCTTCTGGGACCTCTATAATGCAAATATTGGTTTGTTTAATATTGTCTCTTAAGCTATCTTGACTCTTTTGCATTCTTTTTTTTTTTTTTGCTACTCTGATTGGATAAATTCTAGTGCCCTGTTTTTGAGTTCACTCACCCTTCCTTTTGATTCATCAAGTCTGCTATTGAACCCTTTATTGTGTTTTTCAGTTCAACTGTTGTATTCTTCAGGGCTGTGACTTCGATTTGGTACTTTGTTATATTTTCTCTCTCTTTGCTGAAATCCTCACTTTGTTCATGCATTGTTCTCCTGACCTCGGTGAGCATCTTCATGACTGTTATTTTGAACTCTTTATCAGATAAATCACTTATGTCTGTTTCATTAAGAACTTTTTGAGGTTTTATCTTGTTCCTTCCTTTGGAACATATTCTTTTGTTTCTTCATTTTCTTTGACCCTCTGTGTTAGTTTCTGTTAGATAAAAAATAGCCACTTTTCCCAGTCTTAAAGGAATGGACTCATGGTAGACGAACTATCTCTTAACTAGCTTTTTTAAAGGCATTGAGAGAAAATATTATTCAAAGAATGCATCTTCCTGATTAATGCTTTCTAGATGTCATTATTATCTTATTAAACACACTGCTTATTAACTGCTATTTCTTATGATAGTAACACTGTTATCTTACCTTTTATGTATAATCACATACACTATTGCAAAAATAGTGTGCTTGTATTGATAGAATCATAGCAATATGAAACCTTTCAACTATTCTCAGTAATAAATTTAAAATGATTGATGTATGCCTTGTTTGTAGATAATTGAAATATGTATAAATTGAAACCAAAAAAAATCTCAGAGGAACTTGCTTTTTAAGGTTTTTTTGTTGTGGTGGTGGTCTGATTTATTTAACTAGACACAATAAATTTAAGACCTGTGTTATAAATCCTATTAAAGATATAGCCATGTTAATAGGCTAGTATATAAAAATTTGACAAAATAGCTTATTACGTAAAAATCATTTTTCCATTTTACAACCTAGGATACAAAGGATAAGTTTAGTTTCATTGTGATATTTATGTTAAGGTTTATTTTAAAGGTGCAAATTATTTTCAAAAATACTGTATCATATTTCAAATCTGTACTTCTCCTGGTGATCTTACCCAGTCTCATGGCTTTAAATAATAATAATGTGTGTGCTCACTACTCCTTAATTTTTAATCTCCAGTTCATAATTCTCCTCTGACCTTACAACTTGTATGTCCAGTTGTCTACTTGACATCTCCAATGACATATCAGACATAAAATGTACAAAACTGAATTTCTTATCCCTCTCAACCAAAAAAATAATAAAACCTGTTATGCCTTCCGTATTTTCCATCTCTATTAATGGCAAATCTGTCCTTCCATTTAATCAGTCCAGAAACCTTCGACTTAACCTTGACTTCTCTCCTACCTCACATTTGTGAGCAAATCTTATTACCTTCAAAGTATACCTAGTATCTGGACCCTTCTCCCAACACCTTCTGTTGCCACCCTGATCCAAGCCATCTCCATTCTTTACCTAGATTATTTCTTCTTGCATCCATCCACCCTTGCTTGCCTACAGTCTAGTCTCATGAATCTGAGTGACCTATAAACAAAAATCAGATCACGTTATATGTCTTCACAGAACCCTTCACTGGTCTCTCATTTTCTCCAGAGTAAAAATCAAAGTTCTTACACTGGCTTATAAGGCCTTACACAATCTGTTCCCCACACTACCTTCCTTCTCTGAATTTATCTTTTACTCATTTTTGCCACCCTGACTCTCCCTTCTCAAAACACAAAAGTTGCCCTCTGCCTCAGAACCTCAGCACTTACTGAAACACACTCTCCGGATATCTATGAGACAGACTTTCACCGCCTTCAAGCCTTTGCTCACTTGTCACTTTTTCCATGAGCACTTACTCTATGCTGTTTGAGATTCCAGCCCCCTTTCTCACCATGCTCTATTTGTTCTCCAAAGCACTAGTCAAATTCTAATGTTCAGTGCTATGTAACTTACATATTTAGTGTGTTTATTTTCTTTGGTCTTTTTCCTCTTAGCAAAAGTTTCACAAGAGTTTTGACTTTTTCACTGGTGTATCATCCAGTGCACAGACAGTGTTTGGCTATGTTTTTTTCATAATGAATGACTGCATGAAGTTGGTGTTGGTGAAACTCTTGTATGGCACGTGTGTGTACACATGCACTTCTGTATGTGTGTGTGTGTGTGCACGCGCGTGTGTGCATGTGTGTGTTTACATTTTGGGGTTTTTTTGGTTAATATTTCTCCTTAAATTGTGTTTGTGGAGTATATAGAATCTGTTGGCTAAGGCACCTCTGGCTTTCCTTTATTTGAGCTATTTGTGTATGGGGTAAAAGAGAGTTAGCATTTCTGGATATTTACATCAAAACAACAAATGTATTTAAAACCATTTTCAACTTCAAGAATGATTGTCATGAATACCTGTAGGTTAGTAAATTAGAATTTTTCTTTTAAAAAAACTGTTATTAAACTAAGAAATTTAAAGAGAAATTGTAGACATTTGAAAATTGAAGTTTTTAATTTTAAGTAATCCCATTCTAAGCTTAATAGAAATTTTCCTTTCTTCCAAGTTTTTTCATACAACTTAGGAGGATAGAGAAAAATTAATCTTTTAGGTAAAATATTATTGTCCGACAACTATAGCACTCATACCTAGTACTATCCTAGAAATTGTAGAGCATTTTTTCCTTTTAGGATAAACATATCTGTGAACTCTTTCCCCTGTTAAAGGGCTGCTTGATAAGTACCTTTGAACCTAACCAACATACATGCTAAGCTTGATACATTTCCTAAATCCAGGTTCCTTCTTATGACAAACAGCACTATTGCCAAACAAACATTTCTGATTTATTCTGATGAAGACCGTTTTGTCACTGATTTAAATTTAGTCTTACATAGGAACATATTAGTCAGATTTACTAGCTAATTATTAGTCACACTCAACATAACTTCAAGTGGGTACAAATATGAAACATTATAATCTTTAAAGAATTATATTACAGCATTATGAAAAAAAACTTTGAGGTTCAGTTTTCATTATTAAGATGTGAGATTTAGAGTAGTTTATCTGTGGTGCTTTTCCTCTGCAATTCTAATGTCACAAATCTTGAGCAAATTTAGGATGAATTCTGAATTCCAGCACAATAATCTTGTCATGCTAGTAAGCATTGATCTTTAGCTAGGTAAATAAATCCCCATATATCATTTAATCAAATGGAGTTACAAAGGAATTTCAGTATCCAAAAATACAATGTTTAGAGAGCCCATGTGACTGTGCTGTGAGATTCATTTTTGTAGAATATATAACAAGATTTCCCTAGGATATAGTAAGGAAATGTACTTACTATAGAGCTTAATTCATTTGTACCCAACATTTGAGTTATAAAATGTAATATTTTTTTCTGAGTTTAGCAGACAAATGAAAGTAAAACACAACAAGGTTGAATATCTGTTGTTGAGAAAACTGTTTCATATTTATAGAATCTTATCTCAACCCATGGTGACAGCTCTCCCCTCTTAATGCCATCAAGAGATAATGTGAGGGGGGAAAAACCTTCATAGTAGATCATTCGCTATTTAGGTGGTCAGTCAGCATTCCAACTAAATACAGTGCTGAGGAAAAAAATATGAAATCTCTTCTCTGGTCATGTATCTATTGATCTTGTAGTTTAGCAGGAAGAAAAATGTTGATAGAAACACCTAGAAATCACTGGTAACTACAAGGTTTATGGCAAGTTTTTCTTTGATGTGTAGCTAAAATTCAGACTTATAAGCTGAAATGACCCAACTACTCTTAAAGTATCCTACTTACTGCTTTGGTGTACTCAAGATTTCCTTACAATAGTATTGTGTCTGCGTAATTTGTAATTTTATAATAGAGTTAAAAAAGAGATTAGTTTACCAAAGCCCCATAATAAGCCTTTGCCCTGAATTCAACATCATATTCACTTGGAATACTGTACACTGAGAAGGGTGTTTTGCTGTGTTTCAAATGATAGAAAATAGAGATGGCCTTAAGATCTTATTATCTTAATATCTTGTAAGAAAATTTAAAAAAGGTATAAATTTGCTAATATGTTCTGAATACATAAACAAAGATCAGTTAGTAAAATAGGATCTGCTTGTAATATAGCATTATAATGCAGCTTTAGATTTAACATGTTTTACCCAGCTTAAAAACTTCTTGGTAAAGATAGTATTTTGTCTCTCGTTTTTAGTCATCCACTCTAGAAGTATTGTGGGTTGATTTAAAATTGAATGCTTCATCTTCCAAGGGGCTAGGGAGGGTAAATCTAAAGGATTCATAGCTAACCCTAACCTGACTGCATTTTGCTTTCAGTGTTGACATGCTTTGCTTTCCAACTCTTTATTCCAGTCTATGCAAGGGAAACTTTCAAAAGAAAAACTGACAACTCAAAAGATGATGGAAGAGCTGGAAAAGAAAGAAAGAAACCTACAGAGATTAACAAAAACATTATTTGATGTAAGTAGAAGAAATTCAGATTACTTTCAAAGGATAATTCAAAAAACGTTTAAAGCAATGCTCATTTTGTACATTTTGTACATTTCCTATAACATTTTTAGTTGAAGACTTGATTTTGATGTGCCAGTTAATTAAATCCATTAGCTTTCTTAAAATTATAATAAAAAAGACAAACTTATTTTTTTATGTCTTCAGAATGCAATTTCATAGACTTTACTCCAGCAAAGTCAAATGTTAGGTAGAGATTAGGGCCCAAAGCCATCTAATGAAGCATAAATTGAATATAAACAAAATTACCCTTGGAAATATTTAAGGAAGGCACAATGTTGACACTGTCATTGGAACAGGTCACACTTTTTTCCATTGAATTATGAGATGAAATACTTGGCTTGCATTTAAGGACATGTTATACAAATAATACTCAGTTTTTTAACTGTCATCATGCCATTTTGCCTCTTAAGTACTTCAGAAGGCATCTCCAAAAATGGGGACATTTTTCTACATAACCATATCACCATTGTCACATCCAAATAAGAAAAATATTCCATGATATTTGATAATACCTAGTGTATATTAAAGTTTCCCCACTTCACAAATGTTTTTATGATGACTTGAAACCAGCATTCTGTAAGGACCATGAGTTGCATTTCATTTTGTCTTATAAAATCTAAGGCCCCCTTCTTTTCCCATGTTAATGACTTGTTGATAAAATTGGGCCTATTATCTTCCAGAGTTGTAGATTGTCAGGTCTTCTAGATTTATTTAATTTCTTCCTCATGATATCATTTATCTTGTTCTCTACCCCCTCTGTTTCTTAAAAGCTATCAGGTTGTTGGAAAAGTCATGACGCATGTTTGCGACAGATGGCGCCAGTTCATTTTTGGAAGTACTAGAGTCATTCGCATCTACATTATTGCTATGTCATTTGACAGTTGACAGTTCTAGTTTTATTCTAAAAAAAATTGAGCGATTTGGTTGAGTTTTGAAGATTTTACAAGTTGAAGATGGAAGACCAAACTGTGCATTTTTGCCATATTTTACTGTTTTACCTGCATAAAGGGAAGAACGTGCATCAAGCTTTTGAAAAGTTGCATAAAGTTTACGGTGACAATGCTCTACAAGAACGTCAGTGCCAACGATGGTTCACAAAATTCCGTGCTGATGATTTTGATCTCAACGAGGCTCCTCGGTCAGGGAGGCCCACCAAGGTTGATGATGACAAAATGAAGGCATTGATTGAGTCCAACCCACGTTACATGACACAAGAGATTGCAGGAACATTGAACATCCATCATTCAAGCATTCACGACCACCTGAAGAAGCTGGGATATGTAAGCAAGCTCGATATTTGAGTTCTGCATGAATTCAAAGAAGTTCATTTGATGGCACGTATAAACATCTGCAGTATGCTCATTAAACGTGAGGAAATTAATCCTTTTTTGAAGCAACTATTAACTGGTGATGAGAAGTGGATTGTTTACAACAATGTGGTACACAAATGGTCTTGGTCCCGACGTGATGATTCGCCTCAAATGACATCAAAAGCAGACATTCATCAGAGGAAGGTTATGCTCTCAGTGTGGTGGGATTTTAAAGGTGTTGAGCTCCTACCAAGGAACCAAACAATTCAAATGTGTACTGTCGGCAGTTGGTCACTTTGAACAAATCCATCATCCAGAAACATCCAGAGCTTGTTCATTGTAAAGGAGTTGTGTTCCATTGCGACAAGGCGAGACCACACACAAGTTTGATCACCCGTCAAAAATTATTGGAGCTTGGATGGGATGTGTTGCCACACCCACCATACTCGCCTGACCTTGCTCCATCACACTTCTACTTGTTTCTCTCTCTTTAAAACTCCTTGCATAGTATAACGTTCAATTCAGATGAGGCCGTAAATCAGCACCTTGTTCAGTTTTTCGCAAATAAAGACAGGTCCTTCTATAAACAAGGAATTATGAAGCTCACTGAAAGATGGCAAAAGGTTATCTATTGAACAAAACAGGCATATATCATTGATTGGTCTTTGTTCTTTATATAAATAAATGACCTTTGAAAAACACAGACAAAATACATCATGACTTTTCCGACAACCCAATAGAAGTTAAAGCTAAAGGTATCATTAGATTCAGGTCAAGCATTTTTTTTTGGCTTGAATACTTTAGGTGTATTCACATCATCAAATTATATATGTTTGGTTATCCAATTGTAAGTTACACAGATACTGATCTCACCGGGTTAAGGTGGTGACAGATGTATTTTTTCCATTTTAACATGAGCAATGTTACAAACAGCAAGTAACCTGTGAGTGATACGTGGACAGCTGTTGAATATGCAGTTTGCCAGCACCCTTTCCCTTGGTGGCTTTAGTATCCAACAGCAATCATTGCCTGAATCATTAGATGATTAAAAGAATGGCATTTTTTTCTAATTATATTTACTAGCTGTCGTTTATCTGTTAAAAAAAATCTTCTCCTCATCAATACAAGCTTTTTTGGTCATTCTGAAATGCATTCCTACATGGAAGCATAGTTAAACTTACATTTCATTAGCAATTTTCAGGATGAGGAGTAGATAGTGACAATTTGGGAGATAACGTTCGGGGTAACTTTCTTCGATATAATAAATCTTGAGTTCATAATAATACTTCCAATTCAAATTTAACAATTCAGAGCTATTCAGTGTATTTTTTCCCCTTTCTTGACTTTTTAGTTGTATTTCTTTTTCTTTTACATTGAAAAATTTGGTTCCTACCATGTATACTTTTTTCTCTGTATACAAAAAATGGTCACACTGTAACTAAATCACTGTTGCTACTAACAATAAAACAACAGGATGAGGTTTAAAGTTTCTTTGTAGTTCCTTTTGTTTTAGGATAAATCTCGTTACAGAAAACTAAACACACAACCAAGACGCTCATTATGCGAGAACCTGAGAGAGTCTTCTAGAAACTAAGACTGTTTAGATGTATGTTTCCTCTCTCAGGTTTACCCTAGGGCATCAATGGCACAGAGGAACCATATCTACTATTTAAATTATTTTTCTCTTTTTTTTCTACTGTGTGTATGCAATTAAATTTAGTTAATATACATATAATATGATGCCGCTGTTTTATTTATAGACTTGGGTGAAAATGTTAAGCTGTGTTAAATTTTGAGTACCTTCCCTGTGTTCTAACCACCAGATTTTTGTTTTCTCTATCCACTGCAGAACCAAAGACAAACAGAAGACACAAGCTCTTTATTGGATCAGGGCCACGAAGCAGACCAATCCAGGCAGCAGGCAGTGCTTTCTAAACGGCCATTATTTGATTTGAGTGTGATTGATCAGCTGTTCAAGGAAATGTCCTATTGTTTGTTTGACTTGAAGGCGTTGTGTAGTATTCTTAATCAGCGCGCTCAGGGCAAGGAGCCTAATCTTTCATTACTACTGGGAATCAGATGTAAGTGGCTGATGACTTGTCCCGACAGTATTGCTTAACAATTAGAAACCTGTCTTTATGAATCAGGAACTTCTGACTGCCTTTCCTCTATTTGTTTTTAATCTCCTTCCCTACTTAGATTTTTAAACCTCTGAATCAGTCTGGGTGTTTGAATACCCGTTTTACTTCCTTGCTAGAACTCCCTTCACTGTAGAGAAATGGGCAGGGTCAGAGTTGACATGGAGTGCCACTTGCCAGAATGCTTCCAGATCTGCCTGTGCGGTCCTAGGAGCTGCGCTGACCTGTTAATATGTGACTGGAGTGATAATAGTTAGGTGTGATTTCCTGGTTTCTCTTCTAAAAAACAATAATTCTATTTGCTTTCATGTGGCAGTTGTGTAAATTAGCAACCCAGCCATCTGTTCACTGGTAAAATATTGGAGAAAAAATACTCACTTGCTTTCCTATGTAGTGTATGTTCTACAGCAATTGCTTAATGTAAATGCAAGTGCTGTCACAGGAACCAGTTTCCGTGGCCAACAGATGTGTCGCTCTTGTCATGCTACCTGCTGGCTTTGTCCCTTTCAGTGTGACTCCCACCCGTTTTGCCTCAGTTCTACCTTTCTCTGCACACAGTTGTGAGAGCTGCCACAGGAATATCCTGGTGTCCCTTCCTTCTGTGTCGCTGTTACAGGAACACTCTTCTGTGCATGTGGTTCTAAATTATATTATTGACCTGTTGGTCTCTTTTTTTTTTTTTTAAGATTTTATTGGGGAATTGGGAAAGGGGAACAGCCAAGTTGCTGTCCCTCAGTCTTAGTTGTGGAGGCGCAGCTAGCTCAGCTCCAAGTCCAGTCGCCATCCAGCTGCCTGTTGGCAGCTTGCGGCCACTCAGCTCAAGGTGCTGTGTTCAATCTTAGTTGCGGGTGGGCGTAACCCACCATCTCATGCAGGAGTTGAACCGGAATCCTTGTTGCTAAGAGCACATGCTCTAACCACTGAGCCACCCAGCCGCCTACCGGCAGCTCAGCTCGGGTGCAGCTCACTGGCCCATGTGGGAATCGAACCGGTGACCCTGTTCAGAGTTTGCGCTCTTAAATAACTGAGCCACTCAGCCAGCCCAGTCAGTCTCTTTTTAATACAGAAGAAATGGACTTCAGTTAGGAGATATAAATGGAGAAGACCATAAGGTTTATACACCAACATGTATTGAGTAATTACCTAATAACAATGAAATGTGACTAGATGGGGGACTAGTTTTGTTTCCAGTTTTGTAGAAAAGATCGCGTCATCTTGCATCAAAATAGTTATTTTGGCAAACCAAATATGTAATACTCTTGATTAAAGTATATCACTTGTTAAATGAAACGTAACTGTGCTCACAGATATGTGCAGAATTTTCCCCTCCACTTCATAAGTGTGTGTTCAAATACATGAGTGTGGGTATGTAAAAAACACTGTAAAGTATATTTATTCTCTCAGTACATATTTATTAAATACTCTCTATAGGCCAGGCACTAAGGTGCTGATAATGCAGACAATTTGAACACAGCCCTTGCTCACACATTAACAAAATTGTTAGAACATTGTGGTAAGTGCTGTGATTGAGATGTGGACAGGGACAGTGGGAGCACAAGAGAAAAAGAAAGCCAACTAAATCTACCTGTTACGGGCTGGTAAGGCTCCATGGAGTGGCTCGTGTGGGCTTCAGTCTTAAAGGAGAAGTTTGACAGGTGAACAGGAGGTGGTATAGTTAGCAACGATCTCTTGGAGCAAGACGCAAAAGCCCACTCTCAGAAGATCCATTTTCCCCACTATTTTAGGCCATCCTTTCAATTATTTCATAACCTTTTACATTTTCACTCTTCTGTATATACAGTATTTCGTTAACTTTTTCTGTAATAGGATAAGAGTGCTATCCTAATATGAATAAAAGGGAGATTTAAGAACCCTGCCACATTCACCTCCCAATATATATACTCTTTCGAGTCTTCAAAATGTAATCCCAAAATTCTTACCTTATGGTTTGGCATTGTCAAAATTAGGCCAGCCAGCTAATTTGTCAAAAACCAATGGATTCTTTTGAATCCTATCACATCTCCATGGATTATCTGTCAGCACTGTTCACCCATCCTTCTTAAAACTCTCTGCTACCATGGTTTCCATGACATCATTCTCTAGGTTCTGCTTCTGCCTTTATGACTGTTCAGTCTCAATATTCTGTGGACTTTTCTGCCACGTAAATATCGGTGTCTCCCAGATGCCTTTTGCTGTTGTTTTTCTGTTTCTCTTCTATATACTTTATCTGAGTAGTTTTTTCCATGTCCTGTTGTGCTCTGTTATCACTGTACCTTTGACCCATACAGACATTTCTCTTATTCTGCCTACAATGTCCTTTTGGGCCCTAATTATACCGACCTGTGCACTGGAACCAGCTGTTTCATAGGCAGCGCAGACTCAGTATGTCCAGCACAGAACCTACTTGTTCTCCTCCTGCCTCTGTAGCCTTTGACCAGCAACAATACTTGTTTTATGTGCTTACTTGTTTATGAAAGTGTATGTAAATTATTAAGAATAAACCACTATTCCTTGCTCCCTCCCTTCACTACCTCACAAGGATATTGAGGGTAAAGAAAATAATAGTAAAATAATTGGATAAAAAGTGCTATTGAAAGGCAAAGTAGTGTTTGTTGTATTTCACCTGAAACTTTGAGCGGGGAAAAATATGTGTCATTGAATTTGCATTGTTGACCTAAGGAATCGGAAGCATTCCCTTTGGTTCTTAGCGAAGCATGCAAATGTGTAAGCAAACATTACTCTTACTCTCATTCATACTATGGTATTCTGTCACGCTTGAGATAAGCTGTTCTAATTATCTGGTTGTACATAGGAAGGAAATGTTAAGGGTTAAAGTCTGTAATGGTCAAATGGCTCATAATTCATTAAAATATTTCATACAAAGAAAAAGAATAAGCCACGATATCCATTATTTTTGCAGACCTTACCATCTAGCATAGTGCTTGGATCATGGCATGTGTTCAGTTAGTGTTTGTTAAAATAACAAAGAACTTGTCTGACTCTTATGGCTCCAGTAAGCTATCAGGGCAAATGAAGCGGTAATATATATTGTAATATTTTACAGTCGCTGGCTCCACCTGCTTTTATGTTGAGATATGCTGACAAAGAGAGGAACTGGAGTAAATAATTAAAAGTTATGTGACTCAAGGCCTCACTCTCAGTTATTCAGCCTTTGGGCACCTCGCTATCAGCCTAATTCAATTGTTTGGGATTGTAGGGTCCCACCCACACTTACCATATATTTTAAAAATTTACGTTCTTATGCCAATTACCCCCACTTTACAGTCTATAAAAATTTAAGGTATCACCCCTCACTACACAAATGTTTTTCAGATTTTTGTTAAATGGGAAAAACTGAGTGCTCTAGTTGAGCTGTAGTAAAGTTGTTAAAGAATGCTTTTTTCTACTGTTGGAATATTGTCATCCATTAAACATGTTGAATTTGTGTGCTTTACTGTATGAATTTAATGCATTTTAATTAGAAAATTTTAAAAGGGCTAAGTAGATCAGATATATTTAATATTAAATGATGCATAATTTTTTCCTTTTTTAATATTTTTTATTTTACAGTTGACATACAATAGTATATGAGTTTCAGGTGTACAACATAGTGATTATACATTTATATAACTTATGAAGTGATCACCCCAATAAATCTAGCACCCATCTGACAGCATACATAGTTATTACAATATTATTATTTTTTTAAGTTTTTTTTCAATTACAGTTTACATTCAGTATTATTTTATATTAGTTTCAGGTGTACAGCATAGTGGTTAGATATTTATATAATCTACTAAGTGCTCCCCCCCAATTTGTCTATTTACCTACCTGACACTAAATAATTATTACAATATTATTGACTGTATTCCCTATGTTATACTTTACATCCCCTTGACTATTTCGTATCTACCAATTTGTGCTTCTTAATCCCTTCACCTTTTCACCAACTCCTCAGGCCCCCTCCCATAGGCAACCATCATTTTGTTCTCTGTAGGATGATGCGTAATTTAAACCTGAGCCTGACTAGTGTTCAGTGTATAGCATTATATTGCCAATGCTAATTAAGTTGAAAATCCTAAAAGTGTTAAAAAAAATGTGACACAGTCTCTCCATATTTTATTTCCACAGCACTGAACTGTTCAGCTGAAGAGACTGAGAACGACCACAGTCCAGAAACACTCTCTAAAAAACTGTCAGATGTATGCCAGTTACGGAGGGACATAGATGAATTAAGGACTACAATATCAGACCGCTATGCTCAGGACATGGGAGACAACTGCATTACCCAGTGATTGAGTGTCGGTCCCACAGCAATAATGACCCATGTGAAATGCTGCTGTGTTATAGTTCCTCGTATTCCTTTTTAGGAGCCATATTGGAAAGTTGCAAGTGACGCATGACTTGCACTTAGGATTTGTGTGTGTGTGTGTGTGTGTGTGTGTGTGTGTGTGTGTGTGTGTGTGTGTGTGTGTATTTGTTTTTTGGGAGATGGGGGAAGGAGACAATGAGTCAGTCTTGAAAGGGCTTATCTAATCAGGACAAAAGTCAAATTACCATTTGAAAATGTGATAAAGGGTATAAGAAAAAAAAATTCTGTATTCTCAAACTACTGATTGTAGGACCAAGCTGTGAACAGTGCCCTTCAGATACAGGGGATAGGATTTTGTTTTATCCTGTGTGATTTTGTGAGTGTGTGTGCACGCATGTACGTGTGCGCGCACGTGTACGTGTGTGCACGCACACGTGTGTGTATGTTCACAAAATTATGATTTCTAGGGTCAAAGCAAAGCTTCTGAGAAAGGCACACACTGTTCTTGTATTTTCTTTTCATGTAGAAGCTTGTGTTGTATTTTAGGGTTTTCAAAGGCTGGCTGAACAAGAGTCCCAATAGCAGGCGAGTGTTCTACTAGCAGTACAAGAGGCAAAACCATTGTATTTTGAACAACTACTGTGCTGAGATGATGAGGTGGTGGGGTTGGGTCGATTTTAGTACCATAGATACAATACATCAGCTATTTTTCCGGGAGTGATTGTGGATTGCCTTAGAGGTGTGAAATTTCGATGTGATGATCTTTTTACTAGTATAGTAATTTATATATTACAAGGCAGTTAACATAATTTGAACTAATTTTAACATGTCCCTTACCATTTACAGTTTTTTACTTATATTTTAGATATAAGCACATTGAGGATGGGGCATTTAAATGTATAGACACAAATCTGCATCACTGGTCCACAATGTGTTAATGTAAACAAAGCAATATATAATTAATGCAAACCTTCTAAGGCCCCCTTTCATTATGGTAAAAGAAAGATTAACAGAATGACTCTGGAACAATAGCTTATTTATCTAAATCTCAATGTTTACATTGTAACAGTTTTGTATCTTTTAAAATTGAAGCTACTTTAGGAAAAAAACAATCTGTTTTCTTTATATCTGAATTATCACTAACATAAAACAATCTAAATCAGGTGACATTTCAATTCCTTTTATTAGGTAAAGTACATTGAAAACAGGGTTTTTGGTAGATTCCAAACTTAAGTCAGGTTAGGTCTTACTGGGGTTGCAGGATATCACCATGAAATGCAACTGAGTTATCAGTAGACGTGCAGTCATTTAAACTTCCAAATGAGCATTTTCCTGTTTTCATTGGTATTTTGGAAGGACTAGATATTTTACTGCCTTCAGAGCATTCATTACATTCTTGTGAATATACTTCATTATGGCAAATACTGCCCTTTACAAATTGGTTTGTTTTCTTGGTGCAACCAAGTCTCATTCAAATCAAGACTAAATAAGAGGTAGAAGGAGCAAGGGGTGTGAATCAAGCAGGATAATATTGTTTGGGGCAACAACATGTCTGTTTTCTCGTCAGGCTTATATACTGGTATAAAGGCTGCTCTGAGAAAAGGTTTTTCTGAAATATTTTCAGCAGTGAATTCGTGGGATAAAGCATTTAAGGAAACTACCCAGGAAGACATTCAGTTCAGAGTTTGGCTTGCATACAACACTAATAAGTTATTTCATAGTTATATTTCAATGGTCAGTTATAATTTCCCTTCTGTCAGTGCCTAAGTCTTCCTTGCTCTTCTTACTCAGGACCTGGGCTCTAGGAACTCAGTGCACTATAGTGATTCTGCGCCCTAGGGTCCTTAACCTAGTAAAGAGGGACTTAGTCACTGGGAAGAACCTGGCTTTCCGAGGGGGCCATTGTCTACTTATGGTGGTTTGAAGACATTCAGGGAGTATAATAGTAAATTTGTACAGAAAATCTGATGCAAAGAATTTTGCCTTGTAAAAGTATCTGTAAAAACGGCCCTTTACAATCAAGTAGATAATGGCATCTAAAAGAGATAAGCCACAAGTGCAGCACATGTTTTTACATTCTGTTTGAATAGAATGCCCAACCTCCACATTTTAGAAATAGAGGCTCCCTAAAACATAGCGCTAATGGGCAAAAAAACAAACAAAAATCACTGATTTGGGTCACTAAGTTCTTTCTTAAATGTCTCCTAGATTTTTAATATATGTTTTGAGGTTTTATGGTTATTGCTGTTTTAGACAAACTTTTGGTCATCTGTGTCAATCTACTGTAGATACATTTTTGTTTTATAGCTTAATTGCGATAAAATAGTATTTTGTCTTTTAAAATAAGTTTCCTAAAGCTTACAGAATTTGACGTATCTTGAGGTAAAAAACTTTTTTTAACTTAGTAGGACATTAACAAACTACTGCTGATGTATTTCAGTTTCTAAAATGTATACTCTCCTTAAAAATGGGAATTAAGATGTGATAGTTTCAGTATAGCCTTGAATTATAAAATGTAGAGTCTGGAGTTTGTGAAGGGGCCTAGATAATAAATAGATAGCCTTGGAGGGTAATTTTTTGGGAATTAAACTAGTAGTATTCTAATTCATCAGTATTTAATTTTCATTTTTATTTTTCAGAAAACTCCCCTACCCCAAAATGACCTTTTGGGTTAGTTTGAACTAGGATGTTCTTGGGTTATTACAGTGGTATAGGTCTGAGATAAAAATTAACCTAATTTTAAAGTCAATCTATATGAAAATTTCCTTAGATACGAGAACTTTTAAATTATGCTTTTGTGAATTAACTATCTCCTAAGGAAGTATCTTACGCAGGATTAACATTTGTTATTAGTCTTCTGGTTTTTGAAGTTGAGATTGTTCTGCCCCAGTCACATTAAAACGGGTAAAGTAACAATTGTCTCAATGAAAGACCCAAACTGTCTCTGCAGATCGAAGGCACAGTGATTGTCTTCTCGTTTTATGTCAGAATAAAAGTATGACTTTAGTTAAACTGTTAGTAAATTTTCAGTGACCTCTAATTTCAGAAAGCTTAAGTATGGACTAGATAAGTCATGCCTGAATTTTTCTTTTAATAAGTATGGCCCCTTTTTAGATTATAAATAGGATTCAATATTTAATGTTAACAATATTATATTTTAGTGAAATTTATTTTGGTTGTGACAGTTTATTAAGCTGAATTAGATTTATTTCAGTAGGCTTATTAGAGACAATCTCAAGGGCTGGAAAGTGTTGTTAAAATGGATAGTGTACATTTCTGACTTATTAATGCGCTTATAAATTAATATTATAGTTCAATACTTATTACTAGGAATCTCTTAGAGGATATTTTTAAAGGAACTAGTTTATTGGGAAAATATTCTTTCACTATCATGAATAGTTCAGTGAACAACATAGCAGCTGAGAACTTGGACTGTATTTTTTCATAGCATACTTCACCTCGGGCATACCTTAGTTTGGATTATTGGCATTCTCTTATGTAGATTTCTGTCCTTGTAGATACGTAATTACGGTAATAAGCAATTCTCATAACCTTGCTCACTCAGACCGTATCATTTGAAACTGCCAGCTATAGGTCTCAAAATCAAAGTTAATTGATTTCGTTTCCATTTTTAACAGTTCTTTTCAGTGTTCACAAAACAAGAAAAACTATAATATTATTTGGTATAAAGAGTATAATTACCAATTTTACCCCAAAATGCCATGGTGGTATGTTGCTGTATGATAATATTATGCATTTAATCATGAAGGGGAACGATTTTGGATTTTTTTATTTTTTTCTTATTTAAAAAAGTGTTGAGTGTATTAAGAATGTATTATTGATAGTTTAAAATCCATAAGTCATTAACAACACTATTGCAGCTGCATACAGAGAGAACCTTTGTGCCTTTTTGCCTGCAGTAAGCATTCATTTCTGTTTTACATGTGCTATAAGAATGTTGACGATTATTGCACCTTGTTCTTCTGTAAATAGACTGATTAAGAAATTTTTTAAAGCAAGGAGCAGTTTTTCATTACTAGGTAGATAACTTAGTAAACATGAGAGGAGATATCAGATATATGTCTTTGGAGCCCAGCCTTTTCCCTGTATAGTGAGCAGGAAGCCTTTGGAATGTCATCTGTGTGTGTATATGTGTGTACATATATGTATAAATAGCTATTTAAATACATAGATATGAAATTCAGCATCACATTGATGTGATGATAAGAAGTACTAAGGTGCTAGGTGGTTCCATGAAAAGCACAGCAGAGTGTGTAATCAGTCACTGTGACTGGTTTGTAAACTTAGGTTCAGTTTGAACCACCCAAAATACCTCACGTGTAAATAAATACAGTGGTCATGACTTAATTGAAATACAGTTATTGTAAAAACAATGTGAAGCCACTGGTTGGCTTATGCCTTCTAATCTCATTCTTGCCTCTTTTTTTGTAAAGGGGTTGTTTTTTGCTTTTGTTTTTTAGTAGGGTTTACAGCTAGAATTTGGAATGCCAAAGTTCTATTTATTAAATTTAAGAAAAAGTTTTCAATGTTAATGGCTAAGTATTTTTCCACTGGACTATTGTTTGTTGATGTTGGAATTTGTATTTACAGAGAAATAAATTTTTTATAAAACAATTTATGTCTTCCAAGTGCCTAGTATTAATCTACGAATGTATTTGAAATTTCAGACTCTCCTGAATTCTCAGTAATAAGAGTATGCGGACTTGACTTTTAAGTAAAAGCTTTCTATAAACACACAAGAGAATGTTTGACCAGAACATGGAGACTTCTGCTTTAAGTCTGTCTTACAGTTTCTTTTCGGTTACTGAAAAGTTCTTTCTCATGGCCTTCCCATGAAGGGCGCTGAGGTTTTCTGATGATAGGTGCTGTAAATATGAAGTCATGCTTGTATCCATTTAAGCTAGTAGTGCTATGTCCCCCTTTTGAATTTCTAAAATCTCTATTTATATCAAGAGTGTTTTCTACAAAATCTGGTTTCAGTTTTACATATTGCTGAAAAGTTGGGCTGCGAAGTCAAATCCTTGTTTCCCACCTTCTAATCAAAGGTTGAAACCTTATGGAAACATGTACAAATGGGACCTTGCTAAAAGGTTATGCTCTGCAGGACCTTGCCAGCCATCTTGGCTTTGATGGTTTGTCAGCCTCGGCCCAGAGATGCCCTGTGGATGGCACCCTGGGTCCTTGGTCTAACACATATGAACTGTGGCCTCCATGTCTTTAAGAAGTTGGTTAATATTTAGATTAGCAGTGTCTGCTTCCAGTCCAGCTAACTTGGCATTGCTCTGTCAGAGGCTTTAATGAGGCATCTAATTCAGTTAACAGAAGGAGCACTTTGAAAAGCATGCATCACAGGCTACTTAAGATGCTGCAAGTAAGTGTCTTAGCAATAAAAGCAGAGTGGATTAAAATTCTAGAATATTTCTAAGGTGATCAGTGAAGAGGTTTCTCCTTCAGAGGGAAAGATATAATTATTTTTGATCTGGTTTAAAAAAATGTTTTGATGCAGGAGTCAACAAAGAGCTTTTGTGATAGGGTGCATCCCAGTGTTTGAGTTTCTTTTTATGCCAAATCCCCAAAAAGAACCACTCGATGTAGAAATGCAGAGGACTTGGTTAAAAAGAGGTGTGAACTATGTTGTTAGCTGACAAAATGGCAGAGTGTGGATCACCTTACACACGAATAGCACTCGCACTTGTCAGTTAAGCTACTTTCCTTCATTTAGGGGAGATTCCAGTTTGTAGACTGAAATGATGATAAAAGATTTTTGAAACGTTTAAATAAAATTGCTGTCCCTGACAAAAAAATTCAACGTGACAAAAAGAAAAATCTTTCCATTTTAGCCAACCTGTTTTTACTTAAAACACAGTCTCACTTCACGATCTCTATTGATTCCTCATAATGGAGGTTTTAAACTAAACATACACCTACCCTGTAATCTGGAAATTCCACTCTAGATGTTTGATTGATGTAAATGTAAAAAAATGCCTAAAACAGAAACTTGTAGATGAGTGTTTACAGTAGTTTTACTTATAATAACCAAAAACTGGAATTAGTCTAGGGGTCTGTCAATAAGAGTTCTCTGCCCGGGGTTGAAAAACAGCATTCTTCTACAATCTTGGGTTCTAATTGATTGCTGCATATATTCTATATACTTTTTTGGAAAATGGAGTAAAGTTTAATATACAAGGCAGTGGAGAGTCAGAGTTGGAAACCAGACTCCCTGTTCACTAGAGACATTTCTGTTTACACTTCCCTCTGGAGCATTGCCCTTTGTCATGCTGCCACTTGTGTTCTGCCAGCCTCCACAAGTCATGTGAAGGGCTTGGTCTCATCCTTTCTAAAACAAACTTTTTTATGCCATTGGTGTTTGGCTGCTGGTGCTCCCACCAGACTTTGAGCTCTTTTGGAGCAGGCGCCTTTTATTAAACTTTGTGTTCAGTGAGCAGCTAGGATATACTAACCTCTAGAAATGTGCAAATATACCCGTAGCCCAAGGGAGAAAAAAATCTATTTCCAAGGAGAAAACATGCCCTTTAAAGCATAGCTCCCCTGGGGGGGTTGTGGAGCTTTTAATAAAGAGGGATGCAGAGATAATCTTCTTTAGACAAGTTCCATTTTCTTCCAACTCTGGGATCTCCTGTTAACCTCTCCTGTGACTACTCTTTGCCCTTCCGTGGGTCCAGGCCACAGGACTGGACAGTTATTTCCCAGCCCTAGTGCTCCTAGAGCAGTGGTTCTCAACCTGTGGGTCGCGACCCCTTTGGGGGTCGAACGACCCTTTCACAGGGGTCGCCTAAGACCATCGGAAAACAAAAAGATATTTACATTATAATTCATAACAGTAGCAAAATTACAGTTATAGAGTAGCAATGAAAATAATTTTACGGTTGGGGGTCACCACAACATGGGGAACTGTGTTAAGGGGTCGCGGCATTAGGAAGGTTGAGAACCACTGTAGAGCATAGCAATCTCATTAGGCTTTTGTAAGGGGAAATCCAAGGTCTGGCTTAAAAGAGGAATGCAATATCACCTTTAAAAAATGAATGTGTGCATCTAACTTAAGTTGGAGAATGTATATATGTGCAAGTATGAAGAATAATAATTTAAATAGTATACCTTGGCACCCCTTCTAAACAGGAAGCAAGGTAATTTATCTTTTTTATTCCTATCCTGACTAGTCATAAAACAAGTAGTTAAAGTTGTTTAATGGCCCATGATGACTAAAAATCAGTGCACAGGAAGTGTGAGTTCTGTATCTGTCGTTATCGTCATCGTCATCATCCAGCAGTGAAGCACGTGCCTACTAAGTCTAAGGACCTTGCATAAATTATCCTGTTCCTTTATATAATACTCTATGATGTAGGTACTCTTATCCTCATTTCATGCAGGTTGAAGCACAGAGAGGTTTAACATGTCTTGGCCCGTTTGAAACAGCTTGGTAGAGGCAGAGCTATAATATGGACCAGCCTTTGACTCCGAAGCCGGACTCTGACCCACTCACTCGACTTGCTTCTGTGTTGTGCTCATAATTAAACTCCTCCTCCTTCCCAAACCTGCTCACTCACTGGGCTTCTCTGGTTCTGTAAGTTGCACCTTCATTCCAAGAATCCTATTGCTTCTTTAACCAATTACCACAAACTTACTAGTTTATAACAACACAATTTACTTGTAATTCTGAAGGTTAGAAGTTCCAAATGGGTCACACTGAGCTGAAACCAAGATGCTGGCAGGGCCATGTTCCTTTCTGGAGGCTCTAGAGGAGAATCTGTTTCTTTGCTTTTTCCAGCTTATTGTGGTTATTACATTCCTTGGCTCACGGTCCCATTCTTCTCTCTTCAAAGCCAGCAATGGGAGGCCACATCTCTCTCCTACTGCCATCTCTTTGCCTACCTCTGCCCCTTTCAGGAGCCCCTGTGATTACATTGGGCCCATTCAGACAATCCAGGATAATCTCCCATTTTAAGGTCAGCTGATTACCTTTTTTTAAAAATTAGTTTCAGGTGTACAAAACAATTTAATCATTAGACATTTACACCCCTCACAAAGGATAACCCCTCTCCCCCAATCTACTACCCCTCTGACATTGTATATAGCTGTTACAATTCCATTAACTCTATTCCGTATGCTGTATTCCACATCCTGTGACCATATATATATATATATATATATATATATATATATGTTAGTTGACATACAGTAGTATTCAGCTTCAGCTTCAGGTGTACAGTGCAGTGGTCAGGCATCTACACCGTCCATGAAGTGGTCTCCCTAATAAGACAAGTGCCCATCTGACACCCTACAAAATCTTTACAACATTATTGATTACATTCCCCAAACTGTCTTTCATATACCCATGGCCATATTGTGGCTACCAAGTTGTGCTTTCTAATTCCCTCACCTTCTCCCTCAATCGAAAGAACAACAAATGAGCAAACTAGTCAGAAACAGTCTCAGAGGTATAGAGAAAAAAAACTGATGGTAACTGATTACCTTTTATGTACAAGCAGCAAAGGGTACAGCAAAATAAGGATTTAAGACATAGTGCTAATATTTGCCCATCAGTCAGTCTGGGGCAGGAGTGGACAAGAAGCAGGGATCAGGAGAAGAAAGAAGAAAGCAAAATCCCTCCGCAGTCCTCAGGCATTCTGCATCACTGACGGCAGGAATGCTCGCTTCTCTTTGATGTGAATGAAATGTTGGGGGGATTGCTTATTTCCAACATCTATCGATATCCCTCAACTGAGTCACACTTTTGTGTTAAACATTTTGTTCACCCTTCAATTCTCTCTTAATATGTAGATTTTGTTTTTAGAGCACTTTTAGGTTTACAGAAAAATGGCACAAAAAATAGACCCTCCCTCTGCCTCTGTAGACAGTTCCCATGCTGACATCTTGCATTAGTGTGGTATATTTCTTATAATTGATGCACTGATCTTGACACGTTATTAACTAAAGTCCATAGTTTACATTAGGGTTCATCTTTGTTTAAACAGCTCTATGGGTTTTTGTGAGGTACACCGCACTGCAGTATGATACAGAACAGTTTGCCCTAAAAATCCTCTGTGCTCCACATATACCTCCCTCCCCTCAAATCCTTGGTATCCACTGATCTTTTTACTGTCTCTACAGCATTGCTTCTTCTCAAATGTCATATAGTTGGAATCATACAGTATGCATCCTTTTCAGGTTAGCTTCTGTCACTTAGCAATATGCATATGAGATTTCTCCATATCTTCCCATGACTTGATAGTTTTTTTCTTCTTATCGTTGACTGTTTTGTTGTATAGATATAACACAGTTTATTCATTCACTTACTGAAGGGTACCTGATTGTTTCCAAGTTTTTGGCAATTATGAGTAAAACTGCTATAAAAATTTGTGTACAGGTTTTTGTGTGGACATAGTTCTCAACTCCTTTGGGTAAATATCAAGGAGTGTGAGGACTAGGTTAGATGGTAAGACCACTTTAGGCTTTATGAAACACTGCCAAGCTGTCTTCCAAAGTGTCTGTACCATATTGCATGCCCACCAGCAGTGAGTGCGAGTTCCTGTTGCTCCACATCCTTGTCAGCATTTGGGGTTGTCAGTATTTTTATTTTAACCATTCTAATAGGT